AACTTTCGTACACCAAGTTGTTTTCCTCCCTCCTCAGGAAAAAAATACTCCAAACCGCAGCTCAGTCTTACGGAGGGCCACACTTTTCTCAGTTTTCGATTTGTTGTCGCTAACTTCTAACTATAAAGCGGTTATTTGCTATCGATATCTAGTTTTCTTTTTTTCAACACAGGAACTGAAGGACAAGCCAAACTTTGGAGGATTTATGTTATGGGATGCTTCTTGGGATCAACAAAATGTCATTGAAGGAAAAGTCTATAGTGACCACATTGCGGACATTATCAGCAAGAACGGGAACTCGGGGAATCCGACAGGGGTCCCAACTACCGTTACACCCGGCTACACCCCAACATCGGGTGTACCGACAGGGGTCCCAACTACCGTTACACCCGGCTACACCCCAACATCGGGTGGATCTATTACCCCTGGGGTAACTTCACCTTCAACAACTTCTGGGGGAACTTCAACTCCGACAATAGGGAGTTCCACACCTTCTACCCCACCCTTGGGTCCTACGTCTCCACCATCCCCAGGGGGAGGTGCTGGTGTTGGTAAGTGTTATGAAAATCAAATTAGGAAAAACTTGATCATGAGAAATTCAGAAGGTATGGAATGCAGTCAAGTGTCGCTGAGAATGACTTGCTTTTCTTTCCGCTAGAATTTACAAGACAATGTACAGTCAGTGTTTTAAAGGTTGTTTGAGCAATTTTTTATCGACTATCTATCACGGAATCGACAACGATAAGCGCAACCAATCAGTTTGTAACATTTGAGATAGAATGTATTTTGTAGATTGGTATCAACAGATCTTAGCGAACGTTTCTGTAGAAGCTGTTGTGCTGTGGGTGTATTTTTGGTCAAATCATCAACTAACAGTTGATAAGGGAATATAACGGGGCAGGGTGCATATTAAAAGCTGACGTTTCTACAAAGCTGAAAGCCCCACCCTTATTAAGAGAAAAGAACGTACATACTAACTGGCAAGGATCCAAACTTCAGCTCTAAAAATTCTCGATGGTGGTCCATTAGTCGAATAACTTATAATTGACCATCACTTACCCTGTTTAAAAGACAACTGAAAAGCATATAGTACAGAGATTTTAGAGAGTCTTGCAGTGTATTTCTCAAACAAATCTCTTATTTTCTTACATACTTCTTTTGAAAAAGAGTTTTGCAAAGGAAAAGATGATGGCGACTACGGAGACCCGGATAATCCCTCGGGATACATCTCCTGTTCCGGGGGAGTGACCTACAAGAGAAAGTGTCCCTCAGGGCTCGTCTGGAATGAAAAGGGAAAGTACTGTGATTGGCCAAAGAACCTTAAATCAGACACAACGGCGGACCACCGTCCATCATATCTCAAAACTCTGAGGCACTCATCACATGTGATTCAAGTCTTGAGGAAGCGAACGAATGAAGGAACAATCGGACACGGAAGGAAGTTGAACGGATAAAGAACACAAGAAATACAGAGTGAATCAATCCTGGGAAGAACTGATAATTAAGTAATGAGCAAAAAACATTTGAGCAGAAACAAAGTATCTTCTACTGACGTAGATGATGTGTTTATTCAATTCAATTCAATATGAATAGATGCAAAGTTAAAAATCACTTAAAAAAAAGGGCACCTTATGGGTCCCTTTGACAATCAACGCTTCTCTTCCTAATTGGCTCGCGAGATCAAACCTCTTTTACCTGTTTGCAGTGACAAATATTGCAATGACATCATATTATCAGTTAATTAGTCAGTTCTCTTGCTCCTTGACAGTGTTTTGGTGGATCTATTTGTCATAGATAAGGTGTTACGAAAAGTGTAATACAAACTTGTATTTTCATGATCTGTGTCATTAGGTAAAGACAGTGGAATATCGGGCTGCTTCTCTTAGTTAAAACTTTACGAGGAAAATAATAAACCCAGTGCTTAACACATGCGCACATTTTTCCTAAACTTACACCAAAACGTGATGTCTTAAAGGCGAAAACTATTTTCACTGCGACTACTTGGTGCGGATGACAGGACGGGCGGATGTTTTTCATTTCCTACTTACCAACTCGATAGAGGGATACCTGCTAACGAGTTAGACAAATAAACTTAGTATCAGCGACGTTCACTAAATGTTAACTCTAAATCAGTCTATACGTGTAAATGTTAATATCATGTTGAAGAATTTTCCAAAAACATTAACCTCAGCGTCGATTTAGCCACCTTTGGGCTCATGACAACCACTGTTTCCATAGCAACCCAAAATAGACGTAGGATTGCACCTTATGCATGGATTTCTCATATGACTCAAAAATTGTTGTAGATAATCAAAATACAATGTTTAATGCAATGAATAACCAACTTTCTGACACAAAACAAAGAGGGAAGCTAAAGATCGCACCATTAATACACACAGTTAGCTGCCTTTAGTGAAAACTTTCATCTTTTCCTTCTACGGTGTATATCTGTGAGTATCTTTCTCCACTGAACGACAGAGCTTAACACTGAATTCACAGCAGTTCTTCGTCAAAACTTGCCACGCGTCTATTGGTAGGCCTTTCGATCGCGTAAAATGCTGATTTGCACTAATCGAATCTGATCGGAAAGTAATCTGAACTGAATTTATGCTCATTGAGGTCTAACTTTGCCTTAAACAATTTCGCAAGAAAATTGCGAAAGCCCAGCAGTTTACCGAAGACAATACTTCTAGTTAATCCAGATTTCTTTTTAATCTCATTAGCAATTAAAGTTGTTTGTTATAATTAGTGCTCTGATAAATGATACTGAACAGGCATCCCAAGCTCACTTTTGGGCGCTTTTATGAAATAATACTTCTTTGCTTTTTCTCGAGACGTGAGCTTGGGACGCCTGTGGTGATTGGGCTTCTCAACGGATCAATTTCGTTTCGTGAAGGTTGTAATCTCCTTTGACGATGTTATGTCGTTAGGTGTAGCTTAGCAATTAAGAATTTTACCTCTTATAGTTTTTATCTCACAATAACGGAAAATGACACACCTTGTCCTAAGATGCCGCATGCACCTCCCAACCTATAAGGGGCGCATAACTCACAGACAGAAAAAAAATTTCATCAACAGATCGAAGGAGAAAGAACATGGAGATACTAAGGAGAACCGGTAAGCATTTAAGAAGAAGCAAGAAATGCCAGCGAAAACAATAATACGTGACCAGAAGAGAGCGAAGGCAGCGAAGACAGCGACAGCAACATGGTTCAGTATCCGTTGGAGACCAGGCGTCGATCTAGTGAGACAAATGTTCTGGATCTGCGAAGACAAGGACATCAGGAACAAATAAAACAACTTTTGGAACGGAAGGCAGCAAGGAGTAGATACCAAACCATGTCCTGTAACAGATACTTCACGAAAGACCAAGTGCCAGTGCTCAGTGACAGATTTTTCTTGGAGGATCCACGCTTGACTGAAAAAGTCACAGAGAACAGACGCCAGGACACTGGAATTGGACATCATCAAATCCTTGGATTTCTACGAGGTTTTGTTTCATAGAATGAAAGCTAAAGAAAATGGCGAAGCCTCGGAAGAAGAACAAAAGACGTACAGCACAGTTTACAATCTGTCTTGATTTTGTAACGAAAGCTGACGCAATCCTAATGGACATCACTGACAGTAAAAACACGTATATTAGAAATTGTGATTTAAGAACTTTAAGGCGGAGAGTCGATCAAATAAGCAACACACCCAGAAAAAGCACCGCGGGAGGGAAAAATGAAACTTAATTTCAATAACATCAATTTCTTATAGCTACTATAATCTTATTGTATATATTAACTCTAAGGAACTCTAATCACAGAAAATGCGGGGTTCTGATATGTGAGTTTTTACTGTGCGATGGCAAAATACACTGTGTTATTTTTCTGTTTGACTCTGTTCGAAGTATGTGACACACAAGAAGTGCGCATTTTCAAACCGTACTTGTAATGGTTTGATCATGGTTCGCTTTATTAACTATACCTGACCACTATGGTTTGATAAATTTGACAAAGACTAAATGTACTTAGCTGTATCTCTCAATTACCACGAATCAATAAATATTTGGCCTGACAAGTTTTGGTTTAGTTGTAATGTTATGAGGTTAACCTCTGTTAGGCTCAATTGTTTTTCACGAAGACATGAGTATAAAGACAATCAATAATGTGCAGCATTGCAAAATGTAGATAATTTGAAACTTTTGTTTCCCAAAATCCCAGAAAAATGCATCTTATCGATGCCAATAACGTGCTTGCCTGCGACTCTCCATGTGTGTAAAGTGGTCATCCCATCCAGCCATTAAGTTTGTAAGTGAGGTCCAAAGTGAACAGGGCGAGTATTTCAGTTAACGGGGCAAAGTGAACGTGTCGCAAAGTAAACGGGGGAAAAAAACGTGAAGTGAGTAACCGACAAGCGAAGTGAACGTAACAGAAAGTACACAAGGGAAATACTGAACGTGAAGCGAAGAAAACGGGACGTGAAGTGAACGTGACGGAAAGTGAATGGGGGAAAAGTTAACGCGAAGCGAAGCAAATAGGACGCGAAATGAACAGGGGTAAACTGGAACGTGACTTGGAGCAAGTAGGGGTGACCAGAACGTGATGCGAAGGAAACGACACTCGAAGTGAACGTGACGTTATAGTAAACGTGATGCAAAGTAAATGTGATGAAGAGCAAACGTGATGTAAAGTAAACGTGATGCAAAGTAAACGTGATGTAAAGTAAACGTGATGCTAAGTAAATGTGATGCAAAGTAAACGTGATGCAAAGTAAACGTAGGCTCGGAGTACGATTGGCTCAAGCATGTCACAGTGGACTCCAGGCCCTCCTCAGAAAGCTTTGGGACCAACAGATGGTGTCCCCTCGGAAAATGCTCGAGAACGTGACCTTAAGGATAAAATTAATACTATTTTTGGGAGGAAGTTCAGGGGTCTTGTAACGTCGTATAGCGAAACTGTCCGTATCAGCGCGCTGATATTTAAAGGCTAGGATTTGATGATTGCCCAAATTATGAGATCAAGCTATTGTGTTATTTCAAGAGCTCGTAATTTTCATTAACTTCATAGATTTAACATGATAATATTACAAAAGAACGGTTTAATTCCCTGGACGTGTGAAATTAAACCAGATAAAAAGTGTATGTTCATGCATACATAAATTATTACAATTTAAACATAAAATCCACGATGAGATCACGAAATTACGAAAGGCAAAAATCCACTCTCTGTTCAACTGATCTTTAAAGGTAAGATCTGAATTTTACCTTTAGCGAAGGGATTTTACAGGTGTGACTTAAATAGTTTATAGCCTCCGCTAATTCTGACACGGATTATATATATACACTCATCTGATCGCGTATTTATCCGTAGCACATCGATAAATTATTTTATGATTCGCTCGCCCACCAAAGACAATAATTTTTTTCTGCTAGTTCAAGCTAAAATCTTTAGCGACTGATTACGTTCAAAAGATGATCTGGAATCTTGACCGTTAACTTTAGAACAATCGATATTGGCAGGGCTATTTACACTTCTCGAGGTTTACACTGCCGTGTTAATGTTTTCTTTTTTCGAGAAGTTAACGGAGCAATAAGTCACTGAATTTTACTAATGTTTATGATTAAAATCAACACTGATCGCAAATGAATGGAAAGTAGCTACACGACAAACTAATTAGCGCACAGTAGCTGACGTTTTTTCCTGTTTTCAAAAAAAATTCTGACGACTTTGCTTTGAATATTTAAACAAGGTCAAGTATCAATCTTATATGGTCATCTTCATAGACATAGAATAGCTAAGTGAATATATAGTTAACTATGGTGGATATTGATGGAAATGATTTTTAGACTGCATGAAAATTTGAAGTTCTTCAAACCCGAGTGTTAACTACATAGGAAACACAAAAAAACAAGATGTAATTATGGCAAAAAAATGCTTTTCATCGAACAAGCCAAATCGAACAGATTTACAGCCCCTTTAGAGTTAAAGCAGCAAATTCTAAAAGCCAATGCTATTTGATAGTACAAGGCCATGCTGTCCAATCAAAATCAAAGAAAAATATTGAGTGAATAGGTTGCGCCATCTTTAAACTCAAACCAATTACCCAACAAGGCTGACTGTCCACGTTCTCCTTTGCTATTTAATGTGCTGTATGACACTACTAATTTAAAAAGTAAAGATAACAAAGGAGTGGCCGTAATTGACAATGCTACAATTCAAGAAGTCAGAAGGCTTTTGTTCTTACAAGAGCCGTAGGTATTCCATTAACGAGTTTCTTGCACCTCGCTTTTGACGCAATTAGTTGATAATCAAGGCTTTGAATCGTCGAATTCAAGGATAAATCGTGAACGCAATTTCTGTTCAGCCCTAGCGCCATATATTCGGCTAATTTGATAAAAAAACCTCAATTTTCAAGAGTGGTGCGCTTGGCGGTAAAGGATTTTTTTTTTCGCCTGACATACGTACAAATAGAGGAAATGCAAATGTAAACATTTAGGACACGATCATAAACTGTGTCATTTGAATGTGTCACAAACAATGTGACTGAAATTGATTCTATTAAATACCAGAGCGAAGATAGATGAAGATCTATAGAAAGTTTCAAGAAATTTCACTGATTCTCGCAAACTTGGGCATAAGCAATTCTGTGAGTACCTTGACTCGCTTTGTAAATAGCTTAATTTTTTTAATTTTCAAGTGTGAACACCGCTCGGCAAAATGCTTGACAGCAGCAAGCTGTACCGGCTAAATATAAATTCAGTGACTTGGAGAGTGAATGAACGCACTGATTCGATTTTGAGCTCGTTTGCTCGTAACACAACATGCACTTATTTACAGATCAATTTACTCATGCCAGGTTACTTACTGCGGAAAATTACTTCTCTTCAATATCTAAAACTAGTCACCTTTCCTCGCTTCTTCCTCGAGCGTGCCTGCGTTGTTGACTCCAAGATATTTAAGGTTGGAATCAATGCTTGTAAAGCAAAGGTACCATCGCTGTGAAACCGAATCGATTAGTTACGTTCCCTTATGGAAGGAAAAATCGCAGGCAATTTTACTTAATAGAGAGGACTGGAATTTTCAAACGCGCGGAATTTATCGCTCAATTACACCTTTACTGATGATGCTATAAGTCCATTGTCGTCATTGGATGAGACACAGAGAGCACAGGAAGTTAACTTTGACATATCTTTTTTAATAAAAAAACAAATATATAAACAAAGCCATAGGCTGAATAAACGACCAAGCAAACTAGGAGGGGGGCTTTGGGATTTTAGGATCGGTTTTTCGGTTTTTGGGCCAAAAAGGTTCGGTTTTTCGGTTTTGACCTTCTAAGCGGTTTGCGGATTTTACGCTTTTTTGCATTCGGTTTTCGGTTTTAACTAAAACTCTGATGCGGTTTTCAGCTTTTCCTTTTTGACCCCTTTAAAGGTGAAAATGTAGCGGTTTTGTCAGGTTTGCGTGCGGTTTTCGGTTTTGCTGCCTTTTTTCATCGGTTTCTCGGTTTTGGAGATTTTTTTCTGCGGTTTTGCGGTTTCCCAGAGGCCCCAATGCCCCCCTCAGCTAGGGAATGCCTATTTTTAAACTCCCAAGAATTCTGATCGCAATCATCGCAGAGGTCTTTGGCAAATAACCATAACATTCGAGAAGTTCCTCTTCTGCTTGAGGGTTTCAAATACCTTTTGGTTTAGAAGTAAAAGCTGAAACCTGGTTCTTTAGTTATGATCCTCTCCAACAGCTGTAGGATCGTAGACATGAAGCCATTTTATTGATCATAGATATACCATGTAAGTTACAAAACGTTCTATAATTCTATAATTCTATAATTTCGTTTCCCGTGTTCAGTCCGCGTGTCATTTACATTGTTAATATTATGGGATGGGCCATGTACTCGTACTTGGAGAGGTCAAAGATCGTATTAGATGCTCGTTTGTTTTTCTCACGAGTGTTTATTTACGTCTTCCTTCGAGTCCACAAATCTTATCAGTATGTTGTCACTGTAGTATTTGCGTTTCGCTTCGCTTGTTTACGTTTGTTTCCTTTTTTGTGCAGTTAAAGTATTCAAGTCTTGACATACCACATTTCAGCGAACGTTGTAATTTTGGCGTTCACAGCCATCGTCAAAAAATCTTAAGTTTTGTCTGGTTTACATCTTTTTCATTTGAACGCAAACAGTTATCTGTTGCTTCCCAATCTTAGAAATCGCATTGTTTACAGCAATCAGGAACAATACCTTTGAAAGCTACTTGTGAACTTAATTTTAATTCCTCAGAAAGTAATAGTGATATGTAACTCTAGATTACATGTTTACTTTGTACATCTCGGAGATATTAGCATGATTTTTTGCTATTTTAAATTCGAGATGAAATAAAGGCTTGAAAAAAAATTGAATTGAAACTTCATCAACCAATTAGTTCCGTACATGGAGGAAAAAAATTATCGTGCCTTTTTCTACATCTTGTGGTTTCCAAACAACGCAAAACAGAAAATCGAACGGAAGCAAAGCATTTCTATTCCGCCAATTTAAATTATTTTTCTCGCAGATTTCTAAGCTGTTACTTTTGTAACGGAAACAAATGGAATTGGTTGAATTATAATTCAGTTGAGCAGCTCAGTATTTTAAAATTCGACTAGGCCACAATTTGAATTGTTTCGGCAAATTCTGGTCACGTTCTGCAATAAACACAGAGATAATAATTAAATTTGCGTGAATGCATCTGTTGTCAAAAAGTGGTGTGATTTATCTGAAATCCGCGGTCAGCCGTTTACAGGACAAAATACCAGCATTATTGTCCACCTTGAAAAACCACATGCAAACATCCTTTGTTTTAACATGTTTATCAATTCAACTCTGCGTGCAAGGTAGTCATTTGCAATATTTTTTTGCAAGCTCTCTTTCGGTGATAAAAAAGAAATCGAATGAATCTCCTTCTCAATTGTCATTTAGCTGTGACTGACAAACAATTTCGCCACCTCTTCCTATCACGATTTATAGACCACAGTTAATGAAAGTTTGATTTATGCAAATGCAAAATCGGCGACAGAGGAGTTTCATCATTAAATTTGAAAGAAAGCCAAGCTCATGTCAAGGTAAGAACAGCAACAACATAATTGTGATTGTAATGACTACTTGAATTTGAAAATTTTGAAATAACATCTATTCTCGAGCACCAGGCTAAAAATGGGATAAAAAGATATAGAGAAGATTTGTTTGGCGTCCTATGTAAAGATAGCGATGCACTTACTGAAATGATTTTGTTGTAAGAATTTTATCCTATTCCTTGTCTTTTATTGCCTTTCTCGATTTGTCTTTTTTTCTTCTCAACTTACCAGATACCTTTCAAAATAAAACATCAGCGTAAACTACGGGCTAGTTATTTACTACTTAAAATTATAATTCGTTTAATTGATATTCGAGGCCTTCGGTCTTTCAAAAATGCACATGTTATTTACATTAGCTTCGTTTTCATTGAAAACCTTTGTTTTCCTTTATGTCATATTCAGTTTGTTTAGTTTCCTCATGTAGTAGTACAATTTTAGATGGTTCATCAGGAAAAGTGTTCATTGAAGAGTAAACTTGCCTCTCTTTACAAATAAAGCTCTTACATTAATTTTGATTTAATTGTGAGATCCAAGTCAAGTTAATGTTCCAGTGGTGATTCAAATAAACATCAACCATTGTCAGAGACGTTAACGTTGACGCCAAGAATTTCTGATGATATTTTATTAATTCCTGGGGACTGTACGAAACGGCACATCGTGTAAAGACAGATATCTAGACGTGCTTGAATTTTTCACGCTGCTGGCCACCTGCTTTCAGGAAATGATAACATCAAATCATATACACCGCACATAAATTGAATTACATATTTTTTCCTTCACTGAGTTAAACCTAATTTGCCTCAAGGTCTGATAAAAGATTGTCGATTGTCACTCGGACGTGATTCTTAAGAATACGTTAGATCCTTCAATTTGAGCGAAACACAGCACGAAACGGCGAACGTTTGGTGGAACTGCACACCTAAAACTGACGCGTTTAATTTCTCTTGAAATCGGAAATTTCTGCAACGCACATATGTTCGATGTAAGTTTAAGTACAGGGACCAAAACGTACAAACAGAAAACCTGTATTTTGTCGAGTTTTCACCAAATTTAGATCGCTCAAGTTAATCACGCTCCTTAATATTACATTTTCTTCGAATCGATACCAAGATTTGGAGGCGGATCGACATGGAATTTAATACCGCACGTTGATTGTAAACTACAAGAACATGAGACAAACTAATAAATTCTATGAAAAAGGAACTGAAAAGATTATAAATCTGAAAGAGGAAATTAATAATAAACAGTGTGGTCTTCGGAAATGTCTCTTACCTTGTGGATTGGCAGGCCGTCAGTAGACTCATTCCGTGCAGTTATTTCGCTGCCATTCCTTTACACTTTTCATTAAAATGAATTTTTAAGACAATGATATTTTCCTAAATTAAATTCAGAGACAATGCATATATGTGCTACCGCCAAAAGTATTATTCTCCAGTATAAGCAATAGAATGAAAAACGCACTAGTCAGGTAAATCTAAAACCGAATTTATCCGATCTCATGTTAAACTAGTACAGCTGAGGATTTCCGTGAGATGAACCTCATATTTTTGTGAATCGTATCATAGTAATATGAAATGATTTCACGAGTGGCTTAAGTTAAAGTACGTGTGATTCTTGGTAAATGAAAACCAAACGCAAACCATAGACTAGTAACTGAACGTAGACTCTTCGTCAACAGAATGAATCTATACTTAATTAAAATCAGTTGAAATTCTAATCCGTTTCCAAAACAAACCTGTACCTAAATTCTTCAAATCAGTTTTTCAGATACTTTAATCCGCATACCTACGTGTTTAAAAATATTTTTAACCACGGATACGCCCCAATCAAGATGATCAATTTATAACCATGGTTACCCTTCTATCATGTTTGAAAGTATTGAAGGCAGCAATGTAGTCCGATCGTCTAAGTCAGAGAAGTATTAAAAAGAAATTGTTATTCAGTGGCAGAAGTGAATGTTGTTTTGCGGAAGTAATCATCAGAGTCAAACTCCTGACCACCTCCACACTTCTAGAAATTCACAAATTGCCGAGAACAATCAGGTCTTTATCTTTAGAATTTAATTCCTTTATTTTATGAGGCATTCTTGGGTCAAACTCATTAGTTAACGAATCTCAGAAAAGGTTTTATACTGGCACCAAGAGAAAGAAATATCAAATAACAAAAAAATTCACAGATGATAATTACACGCGAATGGAGTATTCGTTAAACTAATATTTTTGAAATTTCACTCCTTTTTTATTTTTTTTGTTTGTGTTTCAATTTCAATCTTCTCATTGGAAATCGCTTTCATTTTAAACCGGAATTTCTGGTCTCATTAAAGACATACTAAACACTCTTTTTCCAGTTCGGAGTATTTTGTCTGATGTATCCGGGGTATAAAAATCTGCCTCCGGTCGATCATTCATTAAATGTACTGAAATAGCTTAAAACATATTTACAGAAAGTACTCAAAGCTTTATTTGTATCTCTGAAATACCTTGAAAAATATACTAAATCTGACGTTCGATGCCTGCTGAGTCTCGGTTCCATCTTCACTACTGTAGACCAAATAAATCGTCGATAAATATCTTAACAGTAAAGTTGACTACTATTTTCCACTCCCACGATAGCCAGCAAAGCAAATCTTGACGTTCTTGACGCTAAATTATCAATTTCACGATAGTGTAGAATTAAGGTCTTATTCTTTTGAAATTCCGCTGAGCATTGTGGTTCAGCCAGCACTCGGCAAGTTATACATGTACAATCAATAGTAAATAGCTTCCTCGAAATAGATTGCTGGCGGAATTTCGAAAGAGTTTCGAGTACAAAGAGAAATCAGCAGGCGGATGCAGCAACGCACCTGGTATTTTAAAACATTGTTTGCGAACTGTCAAAACTGAGACGGTGTGGTAATTTCCGAAGGCGGATTTGAATTTGAAACATCCTGACTCCTTTTTTCATTGTGTGAGAAGTGAGATGGAAATGCGCTCGAAATACAAAGGCTCAACTGTCAAAGCTTGAAATAAAAGTAGTTCTCCGATCTGATTCTGGATTATTTCGCGTTTTGCTGAGGAGAAATCACTGGCTTGATCTCTAGCACTGTCACCACAAGTATCAACTAAGTTAGGTCTTGTAGGTAAGACGACGAGTTAGATTTGTATCTTTTCGTTTTACTGCAATATTTACCACTGATCACTTTCTCAACTTAAGAATGGTATTATTATCATGATAAATGCCAAGTTTCTCCCATGGCTCCACACGGAAAGTGTAGATAGGTTTAGTACGCAAAAGTCGAAGTAAAAATTGTCTTTCCTTTTTGCAGGTTGAAACACGACACCAAGCTCACCTGAAAAACCGTTTCCGATATTTTTAATTAATTTTACCAGAAGACTTTTCGGTGGTTACCGTCATAATAAGGTAAACACAATTTGATCTATATTTCAAGATTTTATACTTCTTTTTACGTTTGACCAGATTTCCTTTCGTTAATTCGGCTTTTCTTTGATATCTTTTTCTTCTCCACAAATTTTTCCCTCAGCTTGAGTGCATATCATGTCCTTCTGAAGACAACTCGAAACGTAAACATTCAACTGAAGAGAGACCGCATTTAGAATTCTTTCAATTAAAGAAATCTGTGCTTGGGTAAAGTAAATAAGAAATTAGTCACGAATTATTCAAAGGTTAATTGCTGTGTTTATGAAAAAAAGACAAAGTCATTAGTTAGTTTATTCTTGTCATTAGCAGCTATTTGAGGTCTTCAAACTAAAAGAAAATTTCTTTGTGCCTACTTGAGGCAATAAACATTTGTTTTAGGTTTGACATTCAGCATATTTATCAGAAATTGAAAAGATACGAAATATCAGAGGAACTTTGAAAATTTGTTTTGAAAAAGCTCTTTCGCATTCAGATAAAGGTTCAATAAGAATACAATTTAATAACTTAGTTACTTTCAATGTTTTACATTTGTGACTTCACCGGCCTTTTATGATAGTGCAAATGGTGTATAATTTCATCTTATGACTAAGATATTTCAACTTAAATTTTTTACCAAATCTAATCCAACTTTCTACCACATTGTTAAAAAGAGCGTTGTCTCAAATGGGAAACCTTTTATTAAGTTCTTTTTTCATTTGATTAATTCCAGATTAGAAATCAGATCCTAATCATGACAAATAATTCTTCTCAACACAAATCCATGGAAAGTTCTGACGTCATAGCATGGTGTGCTGCGTTTGCTGTCGAATCTGTCATTGTGGTAATCGGAAACTTGTTCATTATTACCGTCTTCGTCAAGACCAGAGAGCTACGCAGGCAACATCGCCATTATTTCTTAATGAACTTAGCCGTGGCTGATTTCTTCGTGGGAGGTTTTGCGGGGCCATTGTTTGTTTACATTTTAGGAGGACTCTACAACTTGTGGCCGTTTTCCAAATACAGACATACTTTGTACACCATGAGCATATTTCTGGACATGTTCGCGGGCATTTCTTCAATCGCTTTCCTCTCCGCTATTGCCGTAGAAAGACTTTACTCGACGTTATACCCCACCAAGTATAGAAAAACAAAACGTTCCACATACACAGGCGTCGCGTTCTTACTATGGGTTATTTCCGCTGCGCTTCCAGGGATTAGAATCCATCTCGGAGAAAAATTAAACTCTCTGTACACGTGGATGCCAATTGTCTGCATGCTGCTGGTAATCATCGGCTCCTCGTACATTGTTATCTGGGTTAAAGTCCTTTTTTTCAGTTCCAAGCGCCTAGATCAAAGCCGTGAAAGACGATTAAATGTAACTGTTACAATCTTAACTCTGACGTCACTTTCAACATGGCTGCCGTTCATCATCCTGAACATAGTCAACGAGTTTCACCCGGAATTGAGTATAGAAGCTGTCTTTTCCACCAAGATACTACATTACGGTAACTCTCTGGTCAACCCTTTCTTATTTGCCTTAAAAATGCCGAAGTTTAGAAAAGCCGCACTGAAAATCTTTTGTAGTTTTCATCGGGAGCCAGCCTATCTCCCAAGCGAGAAAAGAAGACTGGATCATGATTCTTCCAGCTCAAACAGCGAGCGAACTTCACCTGCTGTGAGGACCACACCAGTTTGAATGTAACAGTAACTTTGCTTATCTTCAGCCACAATTTTGAGCATCGACACTCAGGACTCATTGTGTTGAGCATATTTTTAACCACCTTTTCGACTCTGGAACACTATTTTGCAATTTGAGAGGACTTGTGCACTTTTTTTCATTTGTGGCAATTACTTTTAAGCAATATTTTACTTTGCGAGTAAACATTTGTTAGCTACAACTATACTGTGTTTACACGGCCTTATTTTGATTATCAAATACTTGACCAAGACAGGCTTTCTCCTTATAAAATCGTTATAGTATCAGGCAGACAAGTGACAAGAATAAAGAAAATTATCAATTAGGGGTTTATCAGTTGATCTAATACCTAATTCTCCCAACCAACATCATAAGAACTCTGCGGAAAGAAGTGAGAAGAATTACTAATGAGATCTTGGGAGTGGAATGGTTAACGTCTTCTGTATCTATGTCAGTCTCCTGTTAGATCCCGTTCAGTTTCAGTTAACCAAATAGTTTGTAGGAAATTTTAGTCGAGAAAATCATATAAGCTTAAAACATTTTTTAGCAACTCTTGAGCTCTAAAAAAAGCTCAGCGTTCAATGGTCTTCGTCTTCACCTCCCTCTCCTTCCCCGGTGCAGAGTGAAGTTTCACCCAACTGGCTTTGCGACGATACCTCTACATTAGTTGTTTTATAGGTTGAACGAACTGCAAAGGATCTTGAAATATTGGAAACACAGCTCCCCTTAGTAATATTTTAGAAAGTGTACTTACCCCAAGAATCATTGCCTTACATTTTAGTCTTTAAAATCTCAGTTTAACAAAATATCAATCGTTTTAAATATCACATCAACTTGCGATTGGGTAATGTGGTTGGTCATTGTAATTATTTCTGACCAATTAAAGTCTGAGCATTGTGTCGAAGTGATTCTTATTTAACTGAGTCTAACTAAAAAGTACCTACGGTTTTTAAACATGCTCCCTCATAATCAGCATTTAGCTAGCAATCAAACCCTAAGAATCGTTAATGAAACAAAATTCGTCGATAAATGTTTGCCGTGAAGGCGGTCGACTTTTTCAGATAAACTTGTCGCAAGGATGTTTGAAAGCTAACGTACTCTTTACGACAGGTATCGCTTTCTTCTTAAATCGTTCCCGACCGTTGTCAGTTTGTTCCAGCGGAGAGATCGAATGTTTGACTAACTCAGCCCTGCTCTTGCCACCTAGCTGAGTCTTCTCTAGGGTTTGCATAATAGATTTCAAATGGACACTTTTTAATTCGGAGTCTTTCTTGTTGGGTGTTTCAAAATGATGGTGCTCGGAATTTGAAGAGATACTCTGTTTTGGGTTCCATTGCGTTGAATAATGCCTCTTCGAGGAGAAATCAATCGGAGGTAATTCTCTTTTGTCGTGACGTATGGTGTTTTTAAGCCACTTAGCTCCGCTCCGCTCAGCTAAGCGAAAATTCCTCCTGTTATCGAGGGAATTTAATCTGTATTCTTTCTTTCGGGTATACAAATTCGTCACAACGTCATGTAACCCTATTTTCTTTTGATTCTTCGAGAAATCGTTTTTTCCTCGAGGTAGATTTCGTAACAAAGGCCGCGTTCCCTTGCATGCAGAAGGCTTTTCATTTCCGCTTCGTGAAATATCAATTCCGATGCTGAATCCGTCTGCAAAAGCACGAGATTTCCAAATTTCTGCAGTCTTAGTTACAGCTTCCAGTTTTTTGCTATGGCTTCCCAGTTTGGGTAGTGTGTCTCCTTTTTTTGATCTTGCGATTGCCCCTACTGGCTTTCTTTTGTCCAAGTTCTTAGCAAGTACTTTTCCTTTGCCAGCGCTGTTTAGTTCGCCTTTCACCAAACTTGGCTTACGTTCATCTTCTCCGATTAAATGTATCTTTGTTTCTTTATAACTTTTTTCTTCGTTATTGCTTTTGTCCTCCTTGCATTGTGTTTTGTTTGACCCCGGACGTTCTTTTAACTCCAGACGGTTTTGAGATTCACATTCCACTCCGACGTTTGACTGATTCGCATCGACCTGATCCTCGCCAAATATCTCTTCATTCCGCAAAGAAAACATAAAGTCTATCTCATCGTCCATACATAGTTCATTAATGGCAATCTCTAGAAAATCTGGGCCATCGCCCTCAAGGAATGAACAAGAAGAAGATCTCGAGTGACCTGGGCTTAACATGGCTGAATAAAAAAAGTTAGCCTCCGAATTTCGTTTTAAACACTCAGTTATTTTATATTGCAAGGAAATTATATCGACAACAATCTTATTTTAGCACCTGGCGAGGTAACCTATGGAGACCACTCGATTTCTGCGATAACGCTTTGAAACATATTGTTTTAGTAACAGATTAAAATAAAAGAAACCCATAGTTGAACAAAGTACTCTAGGTGGTTTGAATACAAATTGCTTTTTATCATTGATTTACGGTTAAACTCTTCAGTTTAAGTGAGATCTATTTCTTTTAACTCCTTTAACTCATTTTCATTAGTAGCCACGAAAAAACAAGTTCATATCACCGAAGATTTTTGAATTTCTGAATTCAAAACATTCCTCCCACGTAATGAAGTCAAGCTGAGAAGTGAAAAACAAAAAAAGACAAACAAAAAAACAAAAAACACCTGAATTGATCTTTGGAATCCTTGCGAATATTTACTATAATCGGCATTTACTATGTACATTTTATTTTTACTATTCACGATGTTCAGAGAGACTGGAAATACGTTTTGTCAAAAATTTCGAGCAAATTTTGATCAGATTGAATGATAACTCCTAATCTGTAGGCTACTGCCAAGAAAATGTTACCAATGAAAGTGTCACGAACACCATATAACAGATGAATCATATTTTGATTTATGAATCATTTAAGAATTGCCGTCGAATTGGTCTTCCAACGTTAACCCTAACTAAGAGAAAATATCATCCCATCCTTTTCTCTTATTGTAATTAAAGTCATGTTGAGAGCGGGGCAAATTTTACTGGGATAAAAGTATTCATAACTTTATAGCTTTTTGGCTCACTGGTAGCAGCGCCCATTTAGTATCTGGGCGCAAGAATCCACTCCCAAATCGTCCATTTCTTCTTTTTTTTTATGTTAGCCGTCTTTTTCTGTAATGATATTAACTGCATATGAAGATCAAGTCGTCATTTGACCTCTTGTTTGTCATTTCAGTGTAATTTACCTGAAGGGCCTTAAAGTGAGGATAAATTAACCAACAAGATCCTATCTTTATTTTTTTGCGGTCACAACATTAATTTCTTCGTGTTGTTTTTAATTCACGGCCGTTAATTAAAGCACTATAGAAATAAAAAACAAAGCCTGCTTGACGCCTAAGGTCTAATTAGTGTTTACAAGAACTCTTTGCTCGATTCATGAGCTTTTGACTAAGAAATTATGTAATAGTTTTGAACTCATCTTTAGCTTCTTTGGGAAGCAGAGCTTGGTTTTTCTAGAGAAAGTTTATGTAGTACATGCAGTTGCGTAATACCTGGATCCTGTGAATGAACTTTTTCAGTAACAAATTTAAACCCTTATTAACATAATTTCCAGTGTAATGGTTTTACCGCTGCATAGTTAGAACGGTTGATTTAAGATACCGATTCTCGGCTTGAGGGGGGTTAGAATTTATGATTTTTCCAAGTATGTTACTTGTAAATTGGAATTATGGTTAAATAACATGTCCTGGTCTGCGCTTATTTCGTATACACGGAGCCAAAGCAGCAACAAAATCTGAAGCAGTTTCACGCCGGGGCCAGAAAAAGAGGGAGACTTAGGTCAGAATGCGAAAAGAAACTCCTTCACCAATATACGTTTCGTTTTTTTTTTTACAATTATTCAGTTGAGATCAACCATTCATTTGCACATTTCCCTTCCGGTTAGAGCTTTGAAATGTTTATCTCGATCGAGAAGGAATACTTTTCGGCTTGCAAACGTGTTTAGAGAAGTGATGCAACCAGCACATCTATAAAAGTGTTGGGGTGGACGTAAGCCCAGTCTTGGCTCCACGACCTACTTTCCCCATCGAGATGTGTTTTAGTTTCTTACGTATAGAGCAACGCTGCCGCGCGCGCCGCCGAGAAAACTCTAGCCCGCTCACCGGAACAAAATGAAAGAGTCGCACCTTTAGCCATCCCAGCAATGGAGCTATAAGGTCTCCAAGAAACATTACGAGTTATTCACTGAATAATTAATCTCTCTGTATTGAGGATGCAAAACGTGCTATAGAATGTTAATTGAGCAGGAATCACGTTATTTGGTTGTCCAGTACTTGATTCCTATTGCACTTTCCTAACGAAAGGTTTCTGGCCGGCATCACTATGAAGAAAGTTTGACGTAAATATTCCTGACGCAGTGAGTTACATCAGCAAGTGACATTTAATGACGCAAATTTATGTGTGTGGTCACTCCTATCTGAGGTACACTTATCATCATGAGGTGAAAACTGAAAGACCAACCAGTTATTTCAAAATGAAAATTCCTCCTTACATGATGTATTCAAGAATTGATTGACCAGGCCGCAAAATCAGGTTTAGAACGCTTCTAATGAACGGACTCAGTACCGCTGGCATGCAGGTCAAATAGCCCAAGATGGGGGACAGGGTTGCTTCATGATATAAGCTTTGTAGGTGTGTACGGTCCTAAAGGGTATAGCTTTTGAGCCAATTTGGGCTAACAGTTGGAATGAGCTGTCCACTTAGGACTTTGAACATTCTTTTTTGAGGTTTCTTAAAGTCTGTTGTTTCATTGTCCGTATCGCAATGTTTGACGGCTCTGCTCCCCTGCTGTCCATACGTAATTGCGGTTAACACCGTTTGTCTACGATTGAGCGCCTCTCCGAATATTGGAGTTTGCATCTTAACGCAAGAGCAAAAGTCCGCATCAAAAGGAAAAAAAACAGCCAAAACAAAACACATTTGACCCAACGTATTATCTCTTGCAAAGGTCACAACGAAAGAACGATTTTACGCGATCGAAAGAAGATTTATTATCGGAAATGACAATTAAATCTTGGTTACAGCTTGTTATGTTTAGCTCTATTTACTCGATATTGTTTAAAAGTTGTATTATTAATTTGTACAAGTTGTCCATTTTTCTAGAAAGTTCCATTATCACTGCGAGAAGAGTACTAGATTATCAGTTAATTCTGTCAATTGTCTTTTGATCAAGATTTGGGAATAAGAACGTTTTAAATGTTTACTCTACACTTTTCACAAAATATATCCGATATTGGATGTAACTGCGTTATCGGCGCTTTCATGTTGGCTCTGGCTCGATAACACATGATAAAATGAGGAGAATTTGCAGCGTCCTCCTCTTGTCTAAAAGATTTTCGAATTTTTGGACCAAATATATTGAGGTATAAATTAAATTACACCGTGAATTTTGCAAGACGTGTTGTTACCTCAAAGACGTGTCAAAAGGTGCTCTCTTTCAGACCCTTTGTTGCTTAGCAACTGTCAAAATACCATCTCGTTGAAATTCATTGTAAGTGTAGGAGAGTTATTCCTGCTGAGGCCCAGTTGTGTATGGTTGCGATGGAGTTTAAACGAAACTAAAAACACTTGGAGCTCATCAAGACTTCAGTGAATAGATGGATAGATTGCACGAAGCGATGGCTGTGAATAGGTCGGCGAACAAATGGAAATCATCCATAACACTATTTTCCGCCGCTCAACTGTGCTTTCTAGACTGTAATTGATGAATGCAGCCTGCAAGCGGGTTGCTACTTGCACGCTCTGTACAGTCCTAATTTAAATTTCCGTTCGATCAAGTTGTTTTATAAATTCTAGATTTTCAAAGTGATAACTTCGCGGAGTATTTAATAGCACGGTGCTGGTCTGTTATTACAGAGTGTCACTCTATTCCGGAGTCTCGTCGAACCTTTTAGAAGTGGGTTTATTTCTTAATAACTTTTGCAATAATTTTTACTCATTTTCTACGCGATGGCTGTAGATCCTTGTGATAGTGGAACCCTACTGCTGCCATTTCTTGACGAATCTGGGTGGAATCAAGAATTAAGGGCGTTTATCTACCTGATAGCGCTGTTATGGTGTTTCATGGGAATCGCCATCGTCGCCGATGTCTTCATGTGCGCGATCGAAACGATTACAAGCAAAACGAAACAAGTCAAAGTACCGAAGCAAGACAATCCAAGCGAAATGGAAGTCGTGGAGATTCGAGTATGGAATGAAACTGTTGCTAACCTTACATTGATGGCTTTAGGGTCATCTGCGCCGGAGATTTTACTGGCTATTATTGAAATAGTTATCCTAAATAAATTCGAGGCAGGTAAACTTGGGCCAAGCACGATCGTTGGTTCGGCAGCGTTCAATCTCCTCGTGATCACAGGGGTTTGCGTTATGAGTATTCCTACTCATGAACAACGAAGGATCAAAGCTATCAAAGTTTTTGCGGTGACCGCTACCTTCTCAATGATGGCGTACATTTGGCTGTATTTAGCACTGAGTACGATTACGCCTGATGTAATCGACCTTTGGGAAGCAATTCTCACGTTTCTTCTGTTCCCGATTCTTGTCGTTGTGGCCTACATAGCCGACAAGGAATATTGTTGCCCCGGGAAAGTTCAACCTCAAGATCCAGGAGTCCTCGAATTGGGTAAGTGCTACTTAACTATACTTAACAAGCTGAAATGTTCTCCATGTTATTTTAATACAGGGATAAAATTTCAGGATAACGCAAAATTTAGATTGCCTTGTTTACCTTAATTTTGAACTGGACGATTTCTCTTTTCAACACGAACTACATTCGCAGTGAAGGCGTAATTTTTTAATTCGTGAAGAAAATTAGAAAGGTGTCCTGATTTAATGTGTTGAGTTTACCAAGAAAACCTCGTTGCTAAGTGTTTTGGCGAGAAATTCACTGGTTGTTGGGGTTAGTAGTCTCAATTATCTGTTCCATGCACATTTCAATTAATTGTCTAATTCTCGGTACTAAAGAATAATTATTTACTCCCATCCTACGTTTAAAACACATAACAATATTTTGTTCTAGTGACGTAAATGTAGCGTTTTTATTTCATCTTAAAAAAGGGAAGAAAACTGCTAGAAATTTAGATGTGCTGAAATCGGTTACTAGCGCACGAAAGCCCATTAATTTGTTCAGCTGTCACTCGACTCAGAGTTCCCACAACGTCAAATGGGATTATTTACATATTAGAGGCACTTCTATGCAGGCGACCGTTAATTTTTTCAACCGAATACCAAAATAGAACTGTCCACCAATTATGAAAACAAAAAATATCACTGGTGTTGCATTTTTATCAGTGTTAACATTTGACAAATTACCTAAGGAGAGTTGAGTTGCAGGTAAAAGGGGTAAATAATGAAAACTAACTGGAGAAATAAAAAATTTTCCCCTTGCAGGTGCACAAACTCTAATGCAAATATTCTGTATAGCTTGAAGATGTCAAGGGGTATGTTTTGTTGTAAACCGGAAATATGATGTTGCAAAATTGTTACGAAACTATTCTCTCAGGGTGTTTCAAATATCTGTGATGCTGAAGTTTTGAAATTTGGCTTGTTGGGGTTTAAATATGAAGCAGGTGAAATATGATTGAGGTGATTTCCATACATGCCAGAAAAAAGAAGAAAGAAAACACATTGACCAATGGACCATTAGGACTGTCAACTAACCAATTAGCCTAAGTGTAATTGCTACATTGACATAATACATACATGAATAAAATTATGTGCTTTTGATTAGCTAAAGACTAGTGCATTTTTTTATGTCACATGCATGCAAAGTTGGAACAAATTACAAAATTAGGGCTTGTCACACACGTGCAAAGTTGTAACAAATTACAAATAGTGCATGTTGTAAACATTTTGTGATGATGTTGATGATGATTTATTTTAACTCAGCTCGATTTTACAAGGTAGAATAGGTTAAATATACATAGCAACTAAACACAGTTCAGCAAAGGAAAAAAGAGAAAAAGATCTAGCAATAAAGTAGGTAGCGAGTTAGGATCATCCAAATAGCAAAGGCTAATCTAGTGGCTGACCCCTAATAATAAGATACATTTAAGGGAAAGCAAAGCTAAGAATGAATTTTTTTTTTTTATAATAAAAAAAGAAAAAATAAATAATTACTTTATGCACTAAAGTAGATAATTAAAAAAAGAGTAACAATTTAAGTATAGAGTTCTTCAGGGCTTTACGAAATATTAGTGAGTTAGTTATACTTATTGGTAATTAATTCAAAAGGCTAGGGCCAGTGAATTTTAGGGACCGTAGGTCATATTGAGTAGTATTAACTGAGGCTACATAAAGATTTCTGTTACATGATTGCCTCGTTGAATAGGAATGAACAGAGGATGTAAATTTGAAATATTTATTGAACCAAGGGAGTAACAGTCTATGTGACCACTGATAAACAAAGGAATGAATCTGTAATTCAATAACAACATTGAGCTTAAGAGGATTGAGGGATTTAAACAGAGGCTCAGAATCGGATTTTGGTTCAGAGAAAGATATTATTCTGATTGCTTTTTTTGGATAATAAATATTTTTTTTAGAAATGAGGGAAAAGGTTAAACCCCAGACATGGACGCCATAAGTGAGGAATGGATAGATAAGGGAGTAATAAAGCATGATAAGAATATCTTTGTTGACAAACTGTCTCATTTTAGACAAGATACCTACAGTTTTGGATAGCTTCAAGCAAAGCTCATTAATATGAGTTTTCCATGTTAAGGTAGAATCAAATGTATGCCTACTTAGGTACTTAGTGGAGTCAACTTGTTTAACAGGTACATTATCAATTTTCTTAATGACTGATTAGGTTAAGTTTTCTGGAATGAAAAAGAATGAAGTTAGTTTTAGAAATACTAAGTGCTAATCAATTACATTTCATCCATTCAAAAACAGATTTTAATTCAAAATTTAGGATGTTTCAAGGTGACTAAGATTTTTGCTAGAAAAATAAATGTTAGCATTCTCAGCAAATAAATGAAATCTTTGTCTTGACTTTCTGTGATGCCTTTTTCATGTAAACTATCAATAAGTAAAACATGATTTCAAGTGTAATTTAGTGTAAATAAGCACTTGTAAATTACTCAAAGACCACAAATTGCACTCGCCCCTTTCGTTGTCTATAAAATTTACTCATGTACTAATTTGCATCAAAGGAACTTTCTGATGGTAATTTTTCAATTATTTCTGCATGTTACGTGTCAGTTTTCTATTTTTACCAATTTATCAAATACCAGTTTCATTTTGACAACTAATTATGAGTTATATCATATCTAGTACACATCAAATCTTGAAGTCAAGGGAAAAGATTATGGATGAATCAATTTTTGGTTATGAATTAAACTGGTATACTAGTTTGCGGTAAAAATCTTTTAGTTATCAGATCACTATTACAATGACTATCATGAAGAGTTGTTATACTTTGGGTCAGGCTAAAAAAGCTGTAAACAGGAAAAAGATAACAGTATTTTATCATTATGTAATATGTTGCTTTCTTCAGCAACTCTAAACTAAAAACAAAGAATAAATATATGACCTTCACATATTTCATTGTAACCAAACATAACTTTGTTGGGATCCTAACTGGTGGAGGACAAATCAATTGACTTTCTATAAGATACAATTGCTTTTTTTGGTGGAATGTCTGTCACAAAAAGAAGGAATCAATTGAATGTCACAAGGGCAGGTAGTTGAAGCAAGGAACAGTAGATTCTAAATTTTTACATACTTTGAAACACTCCATCGGGCAGCTCCCACTTGATATGCAGATGATTTACAACAGGGTTCCAGTGTCTTCAGTTATTATTATTATTTTTTTTCAAATTTAGTATTTTAGAGAGATTGAAAGGGTATGGATATCTACTGGTGATTTCACACATGCTGGCAGTAGATGAAATTTTATTCTTGTCATCTGATATAATACACAGGGGAGTAGTGCACACTGGTCCTGTTCATAATATAAGGACCTGTTATACCAAACTGCCTGTAGCTTTGCTAATGGCTAGGGAAGGAAAATTAATTTCTCATGAAAAAGTTTGCATGTGTCTAAACCTAAACAACTGGGTTTGAAAAATGAGATTCATCAATTCTGTTTTAGAGGGGGCTAAAAAAATAAATTTAACTGGTTGGGTGAGGGAACCGTGAAGTGTTATTATACCTTTTGAAATACAGTTAACACTGTATTTGTTTGTTTGCCCCATACAGCTGAGGGTTCCAAAACACTGACTACTCCTGCACATGATCCAGAGGTTGAAAATTTTATCAAGGTAACTTCTTTTTTTATTTTGTTTTAGTGTATCATTGCGAGATATTAGGTAAAACATTGATTTTCTTATGATATACTAACCTTACAAAAATAAAAGGTTCTACATGTAAATGTGTAGCACTAAGTGTGAAAAATATCTATATTTTATATAACCAAGCATTGATATGAAACACAACGCCTTTAATCACTTTTCTAGGCAATAATTTTGTCTTGAAAACGTCCCAAAATCACAGGATTATCGCGAAGTGATCATTGATTACTTTCTAGTTATACTTTTACAATAATACCTCAAGTCATATTGTCCTTCGATAGTATTCCTTCGTTTTACTACTAACAACTTACCATTTGAAATTCTCACTGCAATGTTGGGCTCACTCGGCGCCTCGAGCTCGGTCTTGCTTTTTATTTGGTTGTGTTTTTTTTTTCCTTAGGAACTTTAAAACAGTGGCCATTCACTAGTAAGAATTAGTCAAAGAATCTTGCCCAGATTTGGGATTAAATATATATTGAAATCAACGTTTTGTTATTCAAGTTGGAAATGCAAGACTTACCCCGCAATTTCCATCGTCTAATGAACAACCAGCGGGAGTGATTTGTTGCGAAGAAAAAATCATAATTCTGACAACTCCCAAAAGAAACAAAGCTGAAATCATACCTAAGCAGTTGCCATTATTTTGTCCGATACCAAACTCGCGATCATTCAATCATTTGGAAGGGAATGCGGAAGAAATGAAACAGGGATCAAAATTTCGGCCTTGCTAGAGTGGTGGAAAAAACCGCTGGACATTTGACTGAATATTCGTTTAAAGGAATCAAGATTCAGAACTGTTCTAGATGTTGTTCTTTGCAATTTTAACGTTTTGTAATCACGAAAAATTTTTTTTTATCTAAAGATCAGACGGTGTGTCGGTAATCTAACTGTTTTTTTTTTACGTTTATATCTCAGGAAGTGAGCAGAAATCCCGATCTGTCAGAGGACGATGCAGCAATGCTTGTTGCCGCGCATATTAAATCCAAACAACCAAAGAACTACGGTTACTATCGAGTGGGTGCCATAAGAGACCTGGGAGGCAGCCACAAGCTGAGACCAAAGATGGATCCTAAACTTAGAGTGGTTCGTAGCTAAGTGTTTTACACTGACATTATTATTACTTCTTTCAATAGATGTTAACGACCTAGAATAGAGTAGACATCTATATTTATACAGGATAGCCCCTTCGGTGTAGTAAACACTGGTATCAACGGGGGTCCTGTTACCCACCCATCCCACCCTAGGGGAGGACATCCATCACACAGTAATCTCGTGCATGCCATGCATGTGGGGAAATTAACGTCTCTTGCCCCTAACCCTGTAGGAGACAGGACCTCTATTTATTCGTCCCTATCCGGGAAGACTAGAATATCTAACCATTTCTTGATGTTATAGAAAGGTAGCATATTCTTCTCAATTATTTTAAGACCCTGAGTGTTGGTCCGGCCGGGGCTCGAACCCTCGACCTCCCGCACAACAGTCCAGCGCTCTATCCATTGAGCTAACCGGGAGGCGGTTTATACACAGGGTTTATTCTTTATTTACTTATTTATTAAGACAAGAACACAGCGAATGGACTGAATAGAAAGACCAGTAAATGTTTTTAATCCCTTCTTTATAGCAAGATATATTCTTTATTATTGTAACAGATTTACGAAGAGTTGTCGGAAGTTGGTTTTTCATCATCTGGAGCCACCGCTATCATGAGTCATGCCTTAGGTGAGTTCAGAAAAACATTCCCAAAGGACTAGCACTCAAATCGCCAGTGGGGGGAACGCGGCCCCCTCGCTATACGGGTCATTTTCCTTGTCAGTCTAGTCTTATTTCATTTATTTTCTTTATTACAGCTGGTAAAGTACAGCCTGCTCGTGTGGAGTTTGCCGCTCCAAAATGTGCTGTTCTAGAAAGCGACAAACTTGTCAGAATTGGTGTGAAACGATCTGGAAACACGAAAATTACAGCCAGTGTAAAGTAAGACATTCAGCTCTTACATGTTAAGAAGTTCCTTGATTACACCCAAATACTTCTTCAAATAGCCTTAGAAAAAACTTGGTTTCAAGCCCAAACCGAAAACCGGGAACAAATAGTTGTAGTTGCATAGAAATCTTCAGAAACATTGCACGCCCTCTGGGGTATAACTTGCAAAGTTCGATTGCTCTGCCTCCCATTCCGAACTTGCAATGACCAAATCGTAGTTTATATGTTGACTTGTGCGCTCTGTCGTCCGTGAAACATACACAAGTATTAATAATAAAATACATTGTTACATTTTCTATAGCTACGAGACCATAAACGGCACAGCCACGGCTGGATCTGACTATGAAGCCAAAAGAGATGTGCTTGTCTTCAAACCCGGTGAAAACTTGAAACATATAGACATTACGATCATCGATGACAATGAATGGGAAGAGAACGAAGTGTTCTTCTTGAAATTGGCCAGATTTGACTACAAGGATGACACGGTTGAGATCGGAGAACAATGTATCACTGAAGTTACTATTATAAATGACGATGGTGAGTTGGATCCGAAGCTAAAACCAGGATCAGCTACAGATGTGTTCATCGAGATATGAAACACACCATTTTCTTTCGATCTTGCCTTTCTACCAGGGCTTCTGCTGGATAATCGTGCTAATCTTTTAATTACGTTCTCCTTCTTTTTCTTCTTTCTTTATTGCCAACCTCTTGAGTTCTACAAAGACAACACGTATGTGGGATATTTTAACATGTATAAATAATTATAAGGGCAGACTACAACACCGGGAAATCTCCTTGCGAGAAGTGCGGGGCGAGTTCTTTCGGAGAGGATAAATAACTAAAATGCAGGAGACGGAGCTTACGGTTTATCGTCCTTATCCGACAAGACTGGAATGCCCAACCCCTTGCAGGCAGCACATTCTCTTAAGTTATTTTAAGATCTTGAGTATTGGTTCGGTCTGGGCTTTGAAAATTCGACCTTCTGCACGGCAGTCCGGTACTCACAACATGAGTTAACCAAGCGTGTTAACGCATGTTTTTCTTGTTTAGACTCGTTTTCTCATTCAGCTCGTGTAGAATGCACTGATTTTCCTTTCGTTTGACTTCCAGAACCAGGAACCTTTTCATTAGAGAATCCAAGCTTTGTAATTAAAGAGAGCATCGGCAAGGCTTACATCACAGTCAACCGCACCCAGGGCACAGACGGTAGAGTGGAGGTCACTTGGAAAACCACAGACCAAACTGCAGTAAACGGCAAAGATTACCATGGAGGGACTGGTACATTGGTCTTTGAACACGGCGAACAAGCAAAATCAATAGCAATAGACATTATCGATGATAAAGATTTTGAAAAAGACGAAACGTTTGTTGTGGAACTCCTCGAAACCTCACCTGGAGCAAAGATTGGTAATATTCGGAGCGCGGCGGTCAATATTGTAAATGATGATGGTAAGAAATGATAGACTTTCTGGTGACGCTTTCCGATGACGTTTGTTAGACTTAAGCTTTATTTTATATTAAGAATTTCTTTGTAGTTTCCATCGCCATTCTTGTTATCATTATCATTTTTATTGTTGTTATTATTGGTCTTCTTCGCAATTCTAAGATTAAAACCACAAAACAATCAAAGCGTCAAAATTACGATTCTAAAAGTCTGGCACAGACACAGACAGACAGACAGAGAGATACAGGCAGAAAGACAGACAGACAGACACAGGAAGAAAGACAGACATAGACAGACAGACATAGACAGACAGACATAGACAGACAGACACAGACAGACAGACAGACAGACACAGGCAGAAAGACAGACAGACAGAGGAAGAAAGCCAGACATAGACAGACAGACACAGGCAGAAAGACAGACATAGAGAGACAGACAGAATAAGACAGACAGACAAACATAGACAGACAGACAGACAGACAGACATAGACAGACAGACATAGACAGAAAGAAGACAGACAAAGACAAGAACAGACAGGCCTAAACAGACAGGCACAGACAGGCACAGACAGGCACAGACAGGCACAGACAGCCCAGCTGCGATTATTCGCGCATAATTCGCTTATATTATTCCAACAACTTTTTTCAAAGTTATTGTTTGTTCGATACCTTTTTGTTAGCTCTCGCTTATTCTATGGACATACTTGAAACAAAAAACTGACATTGATTTCGGTATAGACACATCACGTAATCTTTCACAATCTCTTCACATCGCCAAAACTTTTTTTTCCGTTGAATTTTGCTTGACAAAGTTGTCATCTGTTGTGTTCTCTAGAATATCGAAGATTATTTGACCGAGTTGTTGCACTCACTCATATAAATCTTCGTCGTTTGGAGCTTGGTTCGGCGTCCTGGGCGTCGCAATTCCGTGAGGCTATGTCAGTCAATGGAGGGGATGTGGAAAATGCTACTGCAGTCGATTACGTCATGCACTTCTTCACCTTTGCTTGGAAGGTTCGATAAATTTCGAACAAATTTATCTTATACGTTCAGCATTACTGTTTTTCCTTACCTGTTAATTGCTCTTATTTCCAGGGGGCTTTTTCCGTGGGAAAAATTTCTTCTTAGATCAGAAGAAATGATATCAAGAACATGTAAAGGGGATGTTGTAAGAGCTGCCTATGAATCGATAGTTGCAAATCAGAGTCCTCAAAAACAGATATATGGATTCATTTTGAGATCTGATTGTTTCTTTGTGACAATTCCCTTTTCCGTCATAGTATGACGTCAGTCATACCACGAGGTTTAGGTAAAGTCCTAAAATTCACTCGCCCAGTCTCTCTTTTCTGATCTGTTAGTAAATTAATTTATGTATTAAATGTGGATTAAACGCGTTGTTCCCAACCTCCACTGGTTCTGTTCCCGTAGTTGAACTATGGTCTTCAGTTCTCTAGAGGAGGGAGGGGGGAGGATTGTACAAAAGGAAATATTCGGAAAATTTTTGTGATTGGCCGTTGTGAATACTTTGGATAATTATTCGCAGTGCGTTGAAGGAAAATGCCTCCGATGCCTTGATTTTCAACATGTTCTTTTTTTCTTTCTCATTTTCGGTAGGTTATCTTCGCCATAATTCCCCCTTGCACTTGGCTTGGTGGTTGGGTGACATTTTTTGTCGGTTTAGCAATGATCGGCTTAGTCACTACCATAGTCGGAGACTTGGCCACCATATTTGGATGTCTAATCGGTCTAAGAGATGAAGCGACCGCCATCTTGTTTGTCGCTCTCGGCACCAGTCTCCCAGACTTATTTGCGAGCAAAACAGCGGCGGTGAATGAGAAGTACGCGGATGCCTCTGTAGGAAATGTCACCGGCAGCAACTCTGTGAATGTTTTCTTGGGACTGGGATTGCCCTGGGTGATAGCTGCTAGTTACCATTTGTCTCAGGTGAGAAGGACATTAGTAACTTGAACTGAAGTGTTGAACTTTAGGCCCTGTTTACAAGCAGATAGGATAACCCTAGTGCTAGGGTTACCCTAACGCTCCCACATTTCTTCTTTTTTTTTAATCGACGTGTTTACAAGGCAGCTAGGGTTACCCTAGCACTAGGATAACCTTAGCTGAGCGCTAGGGTTACCCTAGCGCCAGGGTAACTCGAGCTGCCTTGTAAACGCTCTGCTGGGGATAACTCGCCTACCCGGGACAACTTTTTACTTGTTTCCAGACCCTTTGCACATTAATAACAATGCGTGCGGTTACCAAGCATAGGTAAGTTATCCCGGGTGGTAGGGTAACCCTACCTGTGAAATTTTGCTTGTAAACCCGGGCTATCTTTGACCCGCCTGCTAGGGTAACCCTAGCACAATGGTTACCCTCCCTGCTTGTAAACAGGGCCTTAGGCTTCGAGTACGTATACAATACAGCTCAGAACCTAAAGAGAGAGATTGAACAATGTGGCCTACTAAAAAAGTTCAAGGGGTCGTTTGCAGTCCGTGTCAATCCCCAAGCGCAATAGCAGTCCTCTAATAGAAAATGCAGGTCACCGCCGTAAAACACTTCAACCGTCGATTGAGATAAAAAAAAAAAAAACCTTACTCGAACTGCAGCGGGAGTTGGTTATTTTGATTTAAGGGCTTTAACTGGTTGAGGGTAAATTTGTATTTTTTCGCGGCATCACATGTCCAGGATTAACCGTTGAAATCAGATTCATTGTCCGGATAGCAGGCATGACAAAGTGTCCCCTTGTTTTGTCATATAAAGTATCTGAAAACGCTGTCGGATGTATAGTTATGTGAAGTACTCACTCAACAGTGCTTGCATTCCATTCTGTTCATAAGTGGTTATGTGGGGAATCTAATTGCCGGCCCCAATTCCCTGTGACACTGAAGACTCGCGTTGTAGAATTACACGTTTTTAATAATCTTAATATCTCAGTTACTCCCTACGTGCTTCTAAAAGCCCATCTACTTGTCACATGATTCGAAATTCGATCGTTCAATCACTTAGCAACATGAAAGCAAAAGTAACGATTATTAAAGCTGCAACACAACATGTCACGCAGTCAAAACATTTCTTACAGTTATGAACAATTTCAGTTAGTATATACTCAAACAGTGGATAGCCTAGAAGGTACGCTCTGATTTGTTACTCAACTCTCCTGATATTCTTTGCCATTCACCTCCGAGAAACTCGCGCCGGATGTGCGCCGAGAATGTTGTAATTGTTGGAGGAACAAATGAGTTAAAATCATTTGTTTGAATTATATTCCCTCTCTGTGTTAGTGTAAACTAAAATGTACTATGTGAATGCTTGTGTATGTAGGTCTGTAAGAGTAATTTCATCACTAAGTTATCATTTTCTTAAGTATTTCTGTCTTTCGTTTTTAAAATCATAGGGTACAGTGTTCGAAGTGAAGGCAGGAACATTATCCACAAGTGTTGTCACGTACAGTTGTTGTGCGATCCTGTGTTTCGTGCTCCTTTTGGTACGAAGATATTCAAAATTTATGGGCCGCGCAGAGCTTGGAGGGCCCAACGTAACCAAATACATATCTGGAGTCTTCTTACTATTTTTATGGTTCCTTTACGTTTTGATTTCTTGCCTTGTTATTTACGACATAATCAAATTTTAAAGCAAGGTTTCAATCACTGTAAATACACAAGGATAATAACAAAGAGGAAGTTATTTAAATTATTTTTAGTTTCGTTATCTGTACATGAGATATTTTGGAACGAACTTTGGGACGTTTTTCTCGCGGGGGGCGGGGAGGGGGGGGGTTAGGGGTTTGGGTTACGCGTGACCATGTGACTGGGGTTTTACGGTAGTCAACCACGATCCTGACCAGAAAGGTATATAGCGCTTGTTTTAAAATGTCAATCATCTGAAAATTGTCACTTGATGTTTTATCAACGTGGGGTGGAACCCTCGATTTAATCACGATTTTCGTGCGTCTGTTAGTCACGTCAGGAAATTTAGGAGGGTTTTATCTCGTTTTCACTGTGAAACAAAGACATATCATGAACAGAGAAGGACTCGGTGGGAAAGTCCATCAAAATCTATTTATTTTGTACAGTAATTTAAAACACGAAGCGCCCAGGCGACATAAAGTACACTGTCACCAATGCTTAGCTCTTAATTCAAAAGTTAAATACATGATCGTCACACCTGGATACTTGATTATTTCCCTTCGTTTGTTTCACTATTTATTGCAGGATTTGTTAATAGGTTGAAGCGAAAATCAGTTTTTCAGTAGTGTTTTATTCACTACGAAAAAGTGGATGTTTCGCTTCTTTTCTTGAGAGCTAGATTTGTGCTATTTAAATTGAAAAATTGAACCGCCGCCACAGATATGTCGGCACTTTGGATCTCGATGACACTTGGCTTACCAAACCTGGTATATTTGGTAGAAAAAATAATTAGATACGTAATTGGCCGGAATACATTTGAAATTCTAGAAACGGTAAAAGCATTGCACTAAAGCCGTCTGATTTAAGAAATTAGCACATTTGGTCACATGCCAACATTTTTGCGTTTCTTTTGAACGGCGGTAAAAGGTCTTGGAGGGGTTTCATTTTGATTAATTCCCCTGAGTATGTTGTGTAGCATGTTGAGAAAAAATGTCATGTCTCACTCTACCAAAAATTTCAAGTTTGGTACCGTTATTCGCCAAATCTCAAAGAAATATTCTTAAATCTTTCTGTTGAGAATGATTTTGTTTTTTCAGCTCCTAGTCTTTTTGGTACCTTTTTTTTGATAGGTGCAGTTCGCGTTTGATGGAATGCCTCGGAATTCATGTTTCAGTTCGGAAATTGGTTCAGTTTGTGTTCCTTTAGTAGCTGGAAAAACTAATTTCCTCATTTTCAACGTTCTATGGCGAAGAGTATTTCGACATGAATTTGTGAATTGAAAAGAAATTAAAAAAGCCAAAAAGTTTACCACTTAATTTGTATTTGCAAGTGAAACATACCACTACTAAATCACCAACATACGAGTCTTAAATACAAGTAAATTTATTGTATTAGTTTATCATCAAAGAAGCATTTTAGATTTCTACTTCACGTTGTTTTTAGGTTGACGTAGCTATTAAAAAAAGATTTATTGCAAGAAGAATTGTTTACGATTTTTTCCCGTAATTTTAAGTCGGGAGTTGGAACAATGTTCTGTATCTTTCATTCTTTACGCCAGGAGCTTTTAACCCTCAAAAATAGGGACATTTGCAATCAAATCTTCTCAAACTCTCTGAAAGTGTTGTCACACATTCCGTTCACTATATTTGGGACAACAAATTGAAAGGAAAATTTTGAGCTTTCCCGAAGGGACCCCATGAGATGACCAATCGGGAATGATGCCTGTTTTGCTTGGAACAACCGAGTTCGCAGCTTTTGTCCCACTAATGAAACTTAGCAAAATGAGGAAAACAAAATGCACCCTTTTGTCCTTGTGCTGCTACACTCTCAAGCTCCTCCCAAACTAGAACGCTCGATCGCGGGCTAAAAACGTTCTCGCGATTTACTTTGACGAGCCCTAACTATCAAAACGAGACGTGGGATGTTTAAACGTATATGACTGAACTTTTCTCGTATGCTTTCCAGCCATCGAAGAGAACATTCGATAACCAACTTCCCAATTTCTCAGTTCAAATTAATTCCATCCCTTGGACTGTTCTGTTTTGTTCTTCTCGGAGTTCCTCTAATGTCTGACCTATCATTGCCCTCAGCTCTTGTACAAGCGGGTGATTTCCGTGAGTTACTTTCAGAATCGCTTCTGCCTGCAGCAGTGACTGAAAACCATCTTTTAATTTGTCCAAGTAGACTTGAAGTTTGCCTGAAAATCAGATTAATATCCATTTCAAATCATCCAGACTGTCTCTCTCCCTGAGGAAGTGAAATTCTTAATTGAAATTTTACACAACGTTTATTGACCAATTAAGGTTACATTTGTATGACACCATCACTTTTTTTATAATTAGACAAGTTTAAGCTGAAATGATTACCAAGAGATTTCATACATATCACCTACCAATTCTGAACAACTGAATGCCAACACTCGGATGATTCCTTGGATAATAGAGCTTGTATCCATCCATTGTCTGAAGTCCAAAAGCTAAGGCTCTGTCCCAAAACTCTAGATTAATGCAGGCATCCATAGCTTTATCAAGAATGCTAATTCTGCTGTAATGTAATTTGTGAAAGATATCTTTCTGTTCTTCTAAGATATTCTTAGCAAGGTCAAGAATACTTCTATAGTCATCAGTTTTCTCTAATTCCTTTATTTCCTTTAAAGCTTCACCAGATTTTGAGATAATTGCCTCTGCTTTTGTTACCATCGCTTCATTGGATATCTGTTTACCACATGTGTTGCAATCAGCAAAGCCTCCTCCTACAAAAAGAGTTCATGTCACAAGAACATTTCAAATGAGAGAGTACACTGGACTCTTAAACAAATGTGAGGTCAGATCTGCACTTGACCTAAGAGAGTCACATAGCTGTGCTTACCAGGGTTTTTTTTGTTTTTCAGGCGCCCCCGGCCACGGACCCTTTAGTGCAATGGTCAGTGCTGCAACGGCCGGACGACATATACTTAACGGAACCGGAGTATCTAGATTTCCATATTATTAATTGAAAAGGACTGTTACCTCCCATTCCACACATATGGGATGCTAAGGGAGTCCACAGAAGGTACTACCCATCACCTCCTCAATCGATTCATCTAGTTGCCCCAAATGTTTCTTGTACCTTTTTTCCCTCCAGGACTGGGAGAGGCATTGTGGCACTATTGTGTTGCGCCTTGGAAGACACAACAGTAATTCCAGGCAGGGCTCAAACTCAGACCCTTGAGTCTGAGGCATTGTGCACTAAACATTAGCCACCTTGTGTGCCACAACATGATACCCAAGGACAAACGAGCTCTCACATTTCTTTGGGAATCCCTTTTTATCTGACAACTATTATTCAACAAAATTGAAGGAGCCTGAAAAGAACAATTGCTGATTGTGATCTAAGAAAGCATGAAACATCCATCACCTGCCAAATCCCTTGGTAGTGCTCCATTGCATTGAAAGTCGGAACACTGCAGGCTCAACATAAGTCCATCTTCCTCTAGTGGTGAGAAACACTTCAAACAATGACAATCAAATGAATAACGACTTTCTAAGTCTTCCTTCCTCTGGTAGCTTGGGCAAAGCAGTTCTGTGTAGCTTATTGTTAGTTCATCACCTTGCTTGATTTTTTCCGTTGCATGCACAAGGAGTTTTGTGCCACTGAAAACAGTGACACAGTTTGGCACACATGAGTGGTTGAGAAGGGATGGAATTTTATAAATGCCAACACCTAGAAAAAGAGTGAAAATGTTTTTTTTTTACCTACTGTAGAGCATCTTTAGGAAAGTATACGAAAAGAGCTTGCAAATTCACTACCAGTAATGAGAAATACAACAGCAAGGCTGTTTCACAGTTGACTGACTGACTAAACTAAGAACTTATCACCTGACTGAATGACTGACTGATGAACTCACCAACTGATCCACAGAGCAACTGCCTATGTGACAGACTGATTGACTGACTGACTGACTGACTGACTGATGACTAACTGACTTATGGGGGGATTGACCATCTGATTGAGTGACTGACTGATTTAGTGACTGACTGACTGAATGTGTTACGGCAGGCGAACATCAAGGCCGAATGTATTGCCGAGAAAATCACAACCGGAGAAAAATACCAGAACGGGTGGAACTTTACAGAGACCGAAGCGACATTCACATCACATTTATTAATTGACCTCGTAAACTGAAATACACAATGAAGGACTAGCGTAAGGCAGTTGCACAAACAAACATTACAAGGTACTAGCGATCGACAAATGAAAACAAATTACAACTAAACAGGCTAAATGCAAACTACCAGAAACAAGCAGAACTATAGAACTAATATAACGAAATCCACCCAGATATCCACGCGGCCACGAGGTCACGGTACGTCAAATCACAATGATCACACATAAAATGAATAATATATTAATTGAACTGCAAACTGGGCTAACCACAAGCAATAAGGATAAATTACAGACAAAATTAACTTACACATCTGTCCTGCGACACTGTAGGCCTTTATAATTTCTTTTTGTAGACCACAGCAAAAAATGTCTACTCCACACACACGCTCTGCATGTACTAAATCAACCACATCCAAAAATAACTAAAGAACCTAACTATAATGTAAAGCACTGTCACGCAAGTGACGCGTGTAACTGTAACTAAAAGTGCCGTCACGCAAATGAAGCGCATCAACAGAATGACCGACTGATTGATTGACTGAATGACTGATTGATTGACTGATTGATGGACTGACTGAGTGACTGACTGACCAACTGATTGATTGACTGATTTATTGAGTGACTGAATGACTGACTCATTGATTGACTGACCGACTGATTGACGAGAGACTTTCATAGACCCACCACCTTACTAACATAAAAAAGAATTTTGGAAACATACTTTGCCTATTGAAAAGGAGTTCGTTCTTGAACAGAAACGCCTCATTGGACTTATACTTCAAGATAATACTACCATCAGTTCTATACCGACTAGTGGTCTGGGGTGGCTGCCCTAATGCAGAGCTTCTACATTTGCTAGAAGTACTTCACCGTAAGGCAGCCAGAATTATATACAACTTGCCCCGAGATATGCCTACTGAGGAAGTTTACCGACATTCGAACTGCAATAATTTAACCCTCTATTATAAACTTCGATTAATGAAACTACTCCATAGTGTGTTTATAGGTGAAGCACCTACAGCTGTGTCATACTTAACAAACAAACCATGCACCACATACAATTTTCGAAGGAGTAACAATATAATTGTCCCGTGTTTTAACTCGCAGTTTCTTAAAAACTCCATTAGCTGTAGAAGCGCTATACTCTGGAACGCTGTCTCGAAACATTTCACAGACCAGTTTTCAGTTTTTTATTGCAAAGTGAAGAAGGACTCTTATTTTGAGGATCTCGATCTTAGTGCACAGTCAGTCCAGTCACTACCCCGGCACTACCAAGATTTTAAATGCTTTTAACTATTTTTTATGTTTTAAGCGCTGTAGTCAATTTACTTAGAGATAAATAATGTAAATCGTTTTTATTACTCTTACTGTATATTTTGTAGAGTGATTTTAAGGGACACTATTCTTATTGTTATTGTAATCATATTCACATGACCCCACAAGCCCCCAGCTTTAAACTTCATCATGTTTTAATAAAGGATATGATTGATTGATTGATTGAGTGTCTGACTGATTGATTGACTGACTGACCAACTGATTGATTGACTGACTGACAGACTGATTGATTGACTGATTGATGGACTGACTAATGGACTGACTGAGTGACTGACCAACTAATTGATTGACTGACTAACTAATTGACTGATTGACTGAGAGACTGACTGACTGACCAACCCACTAACTGACAGACTAACCAAACGATTGACTGCATGACTCATGGTAAAACTGATGGAGGGGAAGAATGCACATATGGATGGACAGATATAGGGACTGTCAGCTGAATGGACTTACTGACTATTGGACAGACAAGCAGACCAACAGATTGACTGACTGACTGATGGAACAGTAGACTATGAAATTCCTTACTTTGATTTTTACAATGTACATAGAGTCTTTCATACCCAAGGGCTGCAGTTCAGCATCACAAATAGTAAAACTGTTGCAGGATATTTTACCAAAAAGGACAAATAGCTGATCATCTGAGTATTTATGTAAATCGCCCTCGCCAGTAAAGAGTTTAAGAGCAACCAAGATAGCTGAGAAGGCTTCTTTTCTTTGATCGTTAAACTTGTCATGATGAGAGACGAGACTCGAGTACACAGATCGGACAGACGACGTCGAAGGTTTAGCAGTTTGTTCCTGTTGTGTGATTCTCGCCATGAGTCGTACAAGATCGGTTGGAATATTTGGCGAAATATTCAAAGTGAGTTGGCATTCGGTTTTGTGATCCTTCCAAGCGCTCTTTTGGCATTCACGGTTACAATAACGAGCAAATTTACACTTTGAACAACGCTGGAGGTCTTCGCTTTTGGCGAAACAAAAATCACAGCACAGACCTCTCACACTGTTACATAAAACGTAGACCAACGGAATAGACTCCAGTACTTTATCTCCGGGCGTTAATGCTTTTATAGCTCTTAATCCCCGTCCTTTCAGCTCTCCGGAATCAAAACATTCAAACACCTCTGCACGAGGTGTTAAGTCCGCCATCTTGAAAATTTGACCGCTGCAGCAAGAACAGACGGCTCAATAATAGAGACTTAAATTCCCAACAAAATCCTTGACCTTAAATGTGATAAATGTGACTAATATAAGTGAATCTTACATGAGTTCTTTTACAAAATTATGTTGTTATTATTTCAGTGGCCATACTGCAGGCAGATTTGTTCATTTTGTAATTTCAACAAATACATTAGGTAAGTGAGATGTACACGTAGAAAAAGATTCGAAAACGTTTTCTATCACTCATGGTAACATATATATGCTTTTTTAAATATGAGGTTATATTTAGTGTACACATTACCCCAGTGTGTACACACAAGTTCTCTTTTAAATGTTCATTTTGCATGCCAGAATTGCTGCAGTGTACATCATTGCAACCACTTGTGAGATTTTGACTCTCTGTTGTGTTGCACGCTGCTAAAAATGGTCTCTGTAGACTGGATGGTACCTAAAATTACCATCATTGGTTTCCAAATTCCTCAAAATACCAGCTTTTGATGGACATTTCCTGAGTTTCTGGTGGTATCATTTTTATTTGATGTTTTTTTCTTTGAATATTACTTTGAGTTCTATTAACTCTTTAGTTAGTAGTGTCTCTTTCGCTTTCCCATTCTGAATCGTTTTTGTCGGTTGATTGACTAATCTGGGAGAGATAAGATATGCTTGTAGTCCACTTGTCACTTGGCTTCTGCATACTGTGTTGAAATCAATTTGATTTTGTTGTCTGATCATCTAGCTAAAGAATGACTAAATTTGTTTTGCTTCTGCATCCCTTTCCTTTCAGTAAAAATGTAGACCACTATCGCATGAGAAAATGCCTTGTAACTGAAACAGAAAACTTATTGAAATTATCTGGTGTGAAAAAGATTACCTCAGTCTACTTTGGAGGAGGTAAGGTTTTTATTACTTCACTGCTAAAACGCATTAAATTATTACATATGATGCATATATTCATCATATCTGATTAAATTATTATGAGTAATTCATGGTTCTAAGTCAAGATGGCAACTTTGTTAAATTAATTGTTAATCATACTTATTCTAGTAGTAAATTTATAAAACAGCTAGGCAAGATACTTGTAGATACATACATACATATACATTTTATTGAACACATCCCCGTCTGGGGCTTTTCAGTGAACAATTACATAATTTACATACTTGATACTATGCATACGAAACTAACTAATAACACGTTAAATACAATATAAGTTACTTAATATACTTGTAGACAACCACAGACATCCCAAATGGATTAAAATATCTAAATTTTGCCTCAATTTGGTGTTCCTTTGGAGTTCTGCTCTGAGCCCCATGCTTTGTTTGTAGTTTTTGAGCTGTTTGAGTATGTTTTGTCCTTCTTTATTGCATTTCATTATAGGAACACCAAGTCTGGCAGAACCTTTAACAATTTCTTCAGTACTTGAAGCTGTTTCAACAATTTGTTATTTGCCTTCTGAGGCAGAGGTGACACTTGAAGCTAACCCCACTTCGGCTGAAACTGACAAACTCGGGTAAAATAGACAGTTTGTAAAAGATATATAATTATTTTTTAGTGTGGATTTTATATCCCCCTAGTTCAACATCTTTCTCTCCTCACTCCTGATTTTATTGTCATACTTCATAGACAGTTTGCCACAGTGGAACCCTAACAATAATACTCTTCAGCTTTGTGATAAGATACACTTAATGAAAATGAGGTGTCTTGCTTAAGAATATAAGACAAATAGGACCTGTTGGCCCGTGCTTTAAGTTAGACCTTTAAATCTAGAATCCTTCAAGCTAAATATTAGAGCCAGTGCATCTTTTTTATATCAATGAGTAAAAACTCAAGCAAATGTGAAGAGTATACTTTTTTAAAAGATGAATTGTTATCAATGATTCAAATAGTGAATGGTTCTAATAAATTACTGATGGTCATCTCTTGCTTTAATTTTAGTCACTTTCTTGTGGCTGGAATCAATCGTGTTTCCCTTGGAGTCCAGGTATTAAAAACTTTCTACATTTTTGAAAGAAATTACTTTTTCCTGTCATAAAGAACAATTATGTCAGTGGTAAATTTGTCATCAAGCCTGTCACGTTTGTCTCTGGCAGGCCTTCAATACAAGAGATTTGCTTCTCTTGGGGAGAGATAATACCATTAAAGACTCATGGAAGTAAGTTCTAGATAAAATGAAATGGTACCAAACAAAGTGGTGGATCCAGGGGGAGGGTGCAGGNTAATTTTAGTCACTTTCTTGTGGCTGGAATCAATCGTGTTTCCCTTGGAGTCCAGGTATTAAAAAATTTCTAGTACGTATTTATTGTCATCTCTTCCTACAATTTTGAAAGAAATTACTTTTTTCTGTCATAAAGAACAATTATGTCATAATTTTAGTCACTTTCTTGTGGCTGGAATCAATCGTGTTTCCCTTGGAGTCCAGGTATTAAAAACTTTCTACATTTTTGAAAGAAATTACTTTTTCCTGTCATAAAGAACAATTATGTCAGTGGTAAATTTGTCATCAAGCCTGTCACGTTTGTCTCTGGCAGGCCTTCAATACAAGAGATTTGCTTCTCTTGGGGAGAGATAATACCATTAAAGACTCATGGAAGTAAGTTCTAGATAAAATGAAATGGTACCAAACAAAGTGGTGGATCCAGGGGGAGGGTGCAGGGGGTCCAGACCTCCTTCTATTAAACTTGACGCTTACAACTTTGAGAAAGGATCATATATCACTTTTAACTGGCTGATTTTTTTAATGAATCCAAATAAATGGTAAGCGGCCAAGGAATTATAACGTGCAACTGCGACTGGTGGGAGGGGGTGTGGGGGAGATGTAATTTGCCTCAAAGAGTCCAGCAGTCCTTCCTGAACCAAAGTTTGGACCCCCCAATCAAAAATTCCTGGATCTGCCTCTGAAACAGTACACTGTAGATCAATCAGTGATTATACAAGTCGTGTTCATGTAAATCCTGAAAGTTCCTAGTTCAAAATTTTTTTTCAGATTCCTTATGGCTGCTTTATTTTCCCTTATAATTTAATTGCTATTAGTAATAAATAAGCATGTAAATTCTCATCATTTTGCTTGTGCACAGTTTTTTCAACTTTATATTCATCTTTATATTCATATAACATGCATGTAGTTACCATACATGCATGTTAATCACTAAATACACCCAATTTGTTCTGTGGAAAAGGGCAAAAGGGCAAAAGCTGGAAATAAAATTTTGCTAAAATGTGAGTGAATGTTGAAAAGGAACAGTTTACGAACAGAAGCTGACACATGCTCAGTGCAAGTGAATTTTTTATTTTAAAGAGCATTACAGGCTGCAAGGTCCATATTTCCAGGAAAAGTATCAGTTGATTTGATGTTTGGACGTCCACAGCAAACAGTGGATGATTGGTACAAGGAGTTGTTAAAAGTAAGCAGGATGTTTGGTCTTCCTTTTAATTTTAAATTATAAGGCACTTTCCATAATATATAAATGTTATGCAAGTGCTTAAGTCTAGAATTTAAAGATGAAAATTGAACACAGTCATGTTTGATTTTTAAGGATATATTTCAAAGAATTGCCTGCCAATTGAAAGTGAATCTTACTGCTTGGCAAAGAAAATAAAGAATACATGATGGCTTTGGAGAACAAATATATTTAAAAGACAGGGCACGAGAAACAAGATTAGAATAATTGAGATGCATGCATGTATTATCTGTTCTTACCTGATATGGTTTTGGCTGGTAACTTCGATATAAACTACTCTTGACTAAATTACTATTAAATAAGAATTCTTTTTCCTCTATGGGCACAAAAATTTGGAACTGTGTTTCTAATGTTTTGAGACAGCTCCCAAAATATAGTTTCAAGAAAAAAATTACTGAATCTTTACTTCAAATCCTTCTAAACCAGGAATCTTATCCTGATATTGATACATTAATTTAGTAAACAAAATGACAAGAAACTAGATTTCATTAAAATAAAGAGTATTTTGAGCTTTTCCTCTTTTTAATCAGGTGCTCGTGGCTTCAACAATACAATACAATGCAATACAAAGACTTTATTTAAACAGGATAATTGTAAAAGCGACTACACGCTTGTGGGGTCCTGCGTAAAATGGAATAAAATGAAATGTAGTAAAATAAAATAATTAAAGTAGCCTATCAAAATTAGTAGATCTAAAAATATTTGAAATTGGGATCCTTAAAGTTCACTGTCTGTGGAGAAATAGAATTAAAGTTCAACTTTAAAAGTGCCTTTGATTTGTAGGCTAATGAGGAGAGCTGCTTAACGGTTATATTTCTTAAATTTGATTCTTGGAGAAGTGTGTTAAAAACGATAGGTCCTCTTCTGGAAAAACTGTTTTTCATGTAATATGTGTTGAATTTTGGTACTTTTATGTTGGCATTACTTCTTAGATTTTTCTTAGTATTCAATTACAATTACAAATTTAAATAAATTTGTAATTGACATCTGTACCTTTGTAATTGTTATTTATTTTTTGTCATTAGAATAATATTATAGTAATATGTAAATTTGACATGTTTCTCATACTACCTGCCTCGATTAGCTTTGCTATATTGCAGGTAGTCTTAATTTATAAGTTAAATTGTGATTATAAATAAGGATGTTGTTGTTGTTGTTGTTGTTGTTGTTTATTTTATGTGTACCTGTTAAGACCTCTGAGGTCTGGGTCAACAAGTAGAACATTTAAATTCTACTTGTTTTACATTACGGCACAATCATTGAAATCCAATGCCATCCATAATTTTATTTTTTAAGGATTGTAACCTTCAAGCTAATATAATTACACTTACTTCATGCATATTATCCCATTGTAGTCTTCATAACTACTGCTTAATTTGATTTACTAGGCATTATCTGTGTGTGATGACCATATTTCATTGTATCAGCTGACTCTGGAAAGAGGCACACCACTCTACAAAAATGTCACATCAGGAAAAGTGGTAAGCTAGATTGGTCAGCATTCAACTGCAAAATGAATTCCAAGTAAAAGTATTTGAATTATAATTGAAGGTCGTAAGTTGGGATTAATTAATATGTCTGTTGTTTGCAGTCACTTCCTGATTCTGATTTGGCTGCTGAAATGTATCAGTTGGCTGTGGAGGTAACAAACAAATAATTATAAACAATACAGAATTTCTCCCTGCAATATCAATGCAATGTCAAGTAGAAAAGTGATGATAATA